GCCATGGGTAATGGTATTACAGTCACAGTACGAATGTAACAATATTACCTATCCCAATAACAAATGCAGCAACAATTTCAAATAATATATTAAATTATTTATTAATATATCAGGATAAGTAAAATTTTTAAATGCAAATGAGATTTTTTTTCACATTGATAGTTAAGATTTATTTTGGGGATAGGAAATAAGACAAACATAATAACAACAGAATAACATCTTCTACCAATGATCCACTAAAACCTAGTGATAACTATATACTTGAATATTTTAACTCCATGGACATCATGATATGCAAGGAAAAAAACATGCAAGACTGTGTCTTATACAATGATTTCCTACCAAGAGCAAGGGCGCCCTCTCCTGTCCAAATACCATATGAGCACTGGGTTAGATCAAATTGAATCTAGCATTGCCACCTAGTTTTAGGTTATAAACAATTATAAGTAAGTTATAGACAATTTGACTTTATTATGGGCTGAAAAAGTAACTAAATGTAACCTTTGCAATACCTATTACACTGCCAGGTTATATGCAAAATGCTTGATGAATTACCTCATTTCCATTTCTGGAAATCCTAATTACATAACAATTTTACACATGAAAAAAAAGAGGCTTAGCGAGCTTAAAAACTGCTGAGGAATATGTAAGCAGGTGATTTATCAAGTGTATGTGCTCAGCATCATGCTAAATTCTCAGGGCACAGGTATGTATCAACCTTTCTCATTTCAAAAAGCTTATTAAGCCAGAGGAGAAAAAGACGACAGACTATAGTAATAATCACAGCCCCATTTTTTATTGAATGATATAGACTATAAAGCCATTTTACAGTTCTCAAAGCGCCTTCGCATTCTTATTAGATTCTTCTTAAGCATGACCAGTATGGAGGTAGGTATTCACATTACCCCAACATTTAAAGGAAAAGTAAGCTAAAGATTTCATTAAACCATGTTTGCAATATTACATAATATCTACCCTAATGAACCAAAACCAATTCCCTTCTTAAAACTCCTATAAGTACTAAAATCTGAATTCTCAGCCACTTTCTTTTTAATTACTACAAAGCAAAATTCTAAATGCATTCCCTAGATAAATTCTCCATTGGCACTATGGCAGACTGTACCTCACCCTCAGAAGGTGGGGAGCTCTACATCTTAACCCTTACCTCCATCCTTCCTCTGGGAGGTCTCTTCTAAAGATGATGATTTGGATTTTTTATGTGATGATTCCTCGTAATCCGTTTTAGTTTTTGCCTTTCTTTTTTTTGACTTGATTTCTTTTCTCCTTCAAGTTAAATAATATAAAATTAGAGTTAACTTTTTCAAATGATTTTACAAAAAATAAAAACCAATGGATTTTTAAAAATTAAAGTACATATTTTTAAATGTAATTTATGCAATAAGGAACTTCGAATGAGTATGTAAATACTTTATGTTGATATATAAAGTAAGATAATTCCATAAAATAAAGCCTAAACAGAGACAAAGAACTGTTTCTCTAAGATCTCTATACCACATAGGAAAGGTAAGTCAGTTATACTCAGCTCTTTCTAGATTCTATTATTTAACCATTTAAAAGAAAGTTACAAAACCAAATCCCATTTTCTACCACATAATTCATATCTATTGACACACTGAAAAAGCACAATAAAGAAAGTGCCATGGATAGATCTAAGCCACCAGTAAGTAGGAAACTTCTCTTTTAAGAATAAAGAATAGAAAGGACTGGGAAGCAGGGATGAAGAGGATCAAAGGTAGCAAGGGTGGGGAGGTGAGAGGAAGGAGAATCTACTAAACACACTTCTGAAAATGCCATAATGATAGCTAATACCTAGTGTGCTGATCTTAAAAACAAGAATGAAAAATATAATAAAAGTATAATGGAAGTGAGATAGAAGATGCTTATTTTTAACCCATACGTCAACTTCAGACAACTTATTTATCTTCTTACTGCTTTGACTTTACCTATTCCAGGCCCAGGTTTACAATCTGGTCAGTATCACAGCTGGAAAGCAATTAATTTTAACTGCTTAAGAAGAGAAACACTGAATAGGAAAAGGTGGTAATACTGAAATTTGGCCCAGTAAAAAGGACAGAGGCAAAGGGAGACAGCTTTCAAGAGTTTGTTTTATAGAGCTTCCACTCAAGATGTGGCAAAGGCAGCAGCACTGTTAGGGCACCTCTCTACTGGTTCATTAAAGTCGTCACAAGACTAAATGAAGCTCAAAAGAGAAGGTAACAAAGCACCTTGCTTCTTTCTGTGTCATTGACAGAAAGAAGAAATTAAGCTTTAGATTGATCAGGTAACCCAAAAAATCCTGATGATTTTAAGAACTTAAAAATTAATATTTTATTTATTTTTAATGGCTAAAAAACTATATAGCCATGCTTATAATAAAGCTGATTATAAGATGGATGTGGTACAATATGGCTATAATTAAAGCACCTTGGAAGTTGAGGCAGGGGGATCATAAGTTTGAGGCCAGCCTCAGATACATTATGTATTCAAGATCAGCCTGGGCTACATACTAGCCTTTATCTCAAAAACAAAACAACAAAACAAAAACCCAAACAACAACAACAATTAATAACAACAAAATAAAGCCAAGGCTAATGATCCCATATGTACTGCATGGTACAGGCCACTGCACTCCTACTTTATTTAACATGGCAGACACATTAGGGCCCATTCAATAGGAGCCTGATTATAATATTTAAAATGAACACAAATCCTTTGTACCAATGACAAACTCTAATCAAAACGCTGCCTAAAGGACATGGTGGGGAGAGCTGGAGGGATGGCTCAGCAGTTAAGACTGTTTGCTGCTCTTGCAGAGGACCAGGGTTCAATGCCAAGCACCTCATGGCCATTCACAATAGTCTGTAACTTGAGTTCTAGAGAATCTAATACCCTCTTTTGGCCTCTGAGGGCACCAGGCATGCAAGTGGTACATTTTTTTACACACATGTTAAGCAAATATATACATAAAATAAAAATATTTTTTAAAAGTCACAGAGGTGTTTGGGGAGATGGTTTAGTGGTTAAGAACGCTTGCTATGCAAACATGAGGACCTGTACTCAGTTGCTCAGAACCCACATAAAAGCCAGGTGTGGCCAGGCTCGCCTGTATCCTCAGCAGTGGGAGGCTTGGGGGCATGCAGAGACAAGAGGATCCCTGGGGTTTGCGAGCAAGCCAGTCTACTGCAAAAAAGGGCAAACTCCAGGTTCAGTTAAATGAGTATGGTCTAGGTTACTAAATATTAAGAACAGTTATTTTAAAAGAAAATATTACCTGTGATGAAAATTTAATTTAAAGGAACATTCTTGGCATAATCCTGCAAAGGAAAAAAAAAAAAGAAAAAAAAGACAAGGCTGAATGGATTTGTCTCCGCTGCTCTGGTTGATAATAACTTCTCATATATCATTACTATACAGGGAAAATGATCTGAAGAAAATAAACTATCCTTATAACTCAAAATGCATATATACACATATATAATACAAACTGAATTAAAATGCTTGAGGACTGAAAATATTTTAACATTAAACATTTCTGCAGTTCCAGGGGATCCCATGCCCTCTTCTGGCCTCTGCAGGCACTGCATTCATTTAGGTATACAAACTTACACATGCAGGAGAGTCATACACATAAAATAAAAATAAATAACTCTTTTAAAAAAGGTAAGTGTTGTCCAATGTGTTCCATAGGCAGCATTACTATCTCACAGCAAAGATATCTAATAATAACAAACATGATGTAATAAAATACATACAATAATGATGACGTGGGTTAGTCATTTCCTCTGAGGAACAGAAAGGGGCAAATGGAAGGGTGATAGGATCAAAATACATTATATATATTTTTATCGTATTTTGAAAATGTCATGATACCTATTATTATGTATAATTAATATGTTCATTAAAAACTTAAAAATTTGGTATCAAGAAAAATTATGCCTTTCTAAAATTTTCCCTTACTATTAAGATCATATATTTATTTATGGCCAATGCCACATAATGGTTACACAATCAGCCATGAGATTTACATTGCCCTTCCTGATACTCCACTTCTTAGACATATAATTCAGTGACATTCTCAAGCTTACGAGACCTTTACAAGCTACCAGCTTGAATTTGACAGCAGAACTGTTTCATATGGTACTATAACGCTAGAAAGTTTAGGCTCAAAAGTTCTTTGAGGGGCTGGAGAGATGGCTCAGCTGTTAAGAGCACCGGTTGCTCTTGCAGAGGACCCAGGTTTGATTTCCAGCACCTACATGGCAGCTAATAACTGCGGGTAACTCCAGTTCCAGGGGATCCAATGCCATCTTCTGACCTCAGCAGGCACTGCATGACACAGGTGCCCTTATATACCTGCAGGCAATATACTCATGCACATAAAATTAAAATATATATTAAAAAAAAACAAGAAGATACACAGAATCTTTTAAAATTAAATTGTAAATAGACTACTTATTTTCCCAGATAAACTGGGAAGATGTCAACCTTTTCTCCCCTAAAGTCAACTTACTTAACTTAACGAGTGCGTTTCTCTTTTCACCATGCTCGATGTAACCAAAATTAACTTCCCAACTCTTTAAGCCTTCTTTTTCATCACAACATTTATTTCCACAAAAAAATTGACCTGCAAAAAGGAAAGGAGTATCAGTTATGGTAGATGATACTATCTATAGACTTATCTCTAAAATCTTGTTTTAAAAATAAGACATTAGCAATATAAACAACATTAAAAAATGACTGACCATAATAATTACAGTATGCGCAACAAATGTGTATATAAGGATCAAATCAAAGAGCTGAACATGTTTTTTTGCCTTTTGCCATACTGGTGACTGAACCCAGGGCCTTGTACATGCTAAGCATGTGGCTCTATCACTAAACAATGAACCTGGCTCCCCTCCCACCCCTCACCCCCAGCCCCAGAACTTGTTCTGTAGCTCAGGACTGAACTTACAAACCTGTTTCAGTCTTCAGAGTAGCTGTGGCCACCAGACTGTGCCACCAGACCCAGCTAAAGAGCCTAACTATCAAAAATAAGCCACAGAATTCTTATTTGATGAACTGTTTCTATTCAAATAGAATCTTGGTGACAGAGAATCTTACACATTGAAAAATTAAAGTGTTGAGTGTATGTTCTAAAACCTTGAAGGAAGAAATGTATTTTCCAAAGTATGTGCTGATACCTTGAGTGAATACTTTCAGTATTTAATTGCTATATTAAAAAATATTTTAAATGCTAATTTAGCATTTACTTAAATTTCCAGTGAAAAACATATTTTAAAAACTCAAACTTGATATTCCCACTGAGCTACATCCCCAGCCATATATACATAGAATTTTTTTTAAGTCTTTTTGAGACAGAGTCTTCCCTGTAGCCCCAGCTGGCCTGCATTTGCTATGGAGACCAGGCTGGCCTCGAACTCACAGAGATCCGCCTGCCTCCACCTCCCAAATGCTGGAATTAAAGGCATGCTCCACCATGCCTGGCAATATTCTAAATTTTATTAACACCATATTGCTATGTCTATCATAAATTAAAAACCTCCAAACCAGGACTAAAACTGCTGGTTCAAGGAGGGGTTGGGAGGAACAGACAACTCAAAATTATTTGTTTTGGCAGAAAAAGTAAAAATCAAACCGATTTGTACAAATAATAAAATAATTTCCATCACAATAATTGGCACCAAGAAAAACAAATAGAAACCACAAAAATCCTTTTCATAAAAATGGAAGGGACTACCAAAATGAGTTTAGAATATTATCATCCTAAATGCTAATTTCTGTTTTTTGAAACAGGTTCTCATGTAGCCTCAAACATGCTGTGGCAGGTACCTTGACCTTTGAAAAATTTATTTATATATTTATTGTGTGTGTGTTTTTGTTGTTGCTGGGGAGAGAGAGAAAGAAAGAGAGAGAGAAAGAGAGAGAAACAACTTTAAAATTCATTCCAAATGAAAAGTTAACTAAATCTACATGTGTTTAGTAATGACTGTTAAATGGTAACAACAAAATTATAAATTATAAATTTAGAGAATATTCATCAATTTTTAAAAGGTAGCATTATAAGCTCACCTGAAAAAAATCACATGATAAATTTAATACAAACATTTTAAATATTGATAGACATTTCAAGATCTTTCATTATTTTAGGTGAAAATACAAAATAAAATGTAACCTTGAGAAAACTTTTAAACTGCTTTATTTTTATTTATTAGTATGTCTGTGTGTCTGTATATATGGGAGTCTGCATGTTGCACATTTGGAAGTCAGAGGGCAATTTTGCTGAGTCACCTCCCTCCTTCCACTGTAGGTTCCAAGGACTGAACTCAGGTTATAAGGCTTGTGCTTTACCCACCAAGCCAACTCACTAACCCCTAAGGTTACTTTAAATTCATTCTTTTTCCTTTTCTTCTAAAGTACCTTCAGTTGAGGCTGATCCTTTATTACTTACAGAAAAAAATAATGCTGTTTATTTTGTTCTACTGAATATCCAATCTCTTATCTGGTATAAAGCAAAGTTATGGGAAATGCTTGACAGCATAAATGTACATTGAATCACTTCAAAATAGAGCCTTTATTTCTAGCTTTAAAAAAGATCTTTAAAATAAGTTAAGAATTATTTCCTAAATTATTTCCTAAAGAGTTTTTAGAAATTTTAAATTAAAATGCAATTATTACATAAAGAGCTCATTAATAGCATGAAACAGTATAAACACATACACCTTCAGAAAAAAATAACAGATTACAATAATGCCCCCAAAAAGCATTTACTGATTGCCAACCAAATGTTTGGTCTTTAGCTATTACTCTAAATATTTGGGTGCAATCTCATGGATTCCCTCAAATGGGAACTAGTTTGTACAAAAATTCTACTGAATCCAAAATGTGATATTTAATTTCTACTTCCAAAACACTGATTTTGCTGGAGGACAGAAGTACCAGTATTTTATTCTAAAACCTGATAATCAAGCACTCTTTTGTTTCCTGCTACTAAATCTTAAACATTTTCTATATCACCTCAATTGAATGTACCAAACATCACATTTTAAAGGTAAAAATCATTAAAGCAGGGCTGAAAAGAAGGCTCAACTGTTAAGAGCACTGGCTGCTCTTACAGAGGACCCAGGTTCAGTTCCCAGTCCCCACATGTCAGTTCACAATCATTTGTAACTCCAGGTCCAGGGGATCCAATGCCCTCTTCTAGGCATTGCATACATGTGGTACACACACACACACACACACACACACACACACACACACACACACATATACAGGCAAAACACTCATACACATAAAATAAAAATAAATTTTTTAAAAAAATTAAAGTATTAAGTTCTGGCCTTTGATAATAATGCATCTACCACATAAAATTAACTTTATTTTTACTCTTATAGATACTGTATACGACAGGAATAATCTTACCTAGTGATTTCAGTTCTACATAACAAAATAAGCAATATATTAATAAGTAAGCTTTTTAAAAAAAATTACCTTTTCCTGAAATTACTTCTTTCTCTATTCGCCACCTAAATCCAAACTGAAAAGAGCAAATTATGTTTACATAAAAATAAATTCAAGCACTAAGTTAGAAAAGGAAATATATATATGCATATATATATTTCTATACATATACATATATTGCCAGTGATAATGGCATTTGTCAACCTAAATAACAGGGTCTAAAGAGATGGTTCAGTGGTTAAGAGATATCAGACAGCTCAAAACTGTCACTCCAGCTCCAGGGAATCTGATGGCCTCTTCTGGCCTTCATGAGCACCAGGCATGCACATCGTGCACTTACATACGTGTGGTCAAATATTCATACACACAAAATAAAATTTTAAAAATAAAAAACCAAACAATTAATTCAATTCTCATCATGATGGTTTTATTCTCTTCTCACAGGAAGTTAAAAATATCTTTAAACAATTACCAACCTGTTAAGAACAACCCTCTTTACCTTTAAAAAGCCCTAAAAGTTACAAGTGCCAGAAAATACCTAAGGTCATGTAATATACCCTGGTAAAAGATACCGAGAAGAAGGAAAACTATGGTATAGTCATTATACCAGTAGAAAGAAGTACAGCTTTGGAGTCAGATTATTGAAGCCTTTGTTTAAGCTCTATCACATCAACTGTATTATACTGTGACAGTTATTTAATCGGTTTTTGCCTCAGTTTCCTCAGGTATAAAGATAGGAGTATTTCCTTGGTGAAGAGGTTTAAATGGGGTACTGCATATGAAGGACTTAGAACAGGAACCAGTAAGTAGTAGATGCAAGACGAGTAAACCAGGACACACAAACTGCCTCCTGTCTTGTAAAGTTCTGTGTTAAGACAAGCACATCCAATCATTCACATGTGTGTCTACCTTCACCCAACAATGAATTGGAAAGGTCAAAAATTACAATCTGGCTTTCTACAAAAGAAGTTTGCTAACTTAGCAAATGCATAACTGGTCTTATTTACTACTGTGCTTTATTCCCTCTGGAATAACCAAAGTTATTTCCTGCACACAAAAGTGCAACAGGAAAAACAGGAAAAACAAAGTCCGTACCTAAGTTCCCAGTGACCTAATCTACAAAGTCTCTCATGGACACAAAATCCAACACTGTCCAGGCTTCTGTCTTGGCAATGTGCTCAGAAATGGAACAGGAAAGAGCAGAGGCACCCGTCTGGAGCAGCAGAGTGCAAGGCGTTAATCTTCCACCTGTACACCCATTTTAATTGTCTTTGTCCCCAAAATGATTTGTCATCACTGCCTTTTAATATATTTTATATATATTCATTAACCTGTCAGTTTTAATAAAAGGGTTTCTTATTCAGTTTAATGTAACGGTACAAGCTATCTCCAGCAATTATATTCTTTGGTATTTATGCAAACGAGCTAAAAATTTGTCCAAACAAAAACCTGAACATAGATGCTCATGGCAATTTTATTTCCCAAAACTCAGAAGCAGCCACATGTTTCACTGAGTGAATGTATAATTAAATTGTGGTACATTTGTACAATGTAATATTATTCTAAAATAACATTACTAAAAAGAAAATGAGGTACCCAGCTAAGACATAATTGTATACTACAATAATACCAAATTAATTCTTACTATTTAGTGAAAGAAGTCAATCTGAAAAGGCGACATGCTATATGACTCCAACTCTGTGATGCTCTGGAAAAGGGCATGAAGAGAGTAAACACTGCAGGAGTCAAGGAGAGCGAGGGATGAAGTACAGCACAGGGTTCTTCAGGTAGTAAACTGTTCTTTAGATGCTATAATGGTGGATACATACCATTATAATATGTCTGTCAAAGCCTGTAGAATGAATGTACAGTACCAAGAGTGAACCCCAATGTAAGCCATAGACACTGAGTGAAAACAGTGTTGAAACCGTGTGTTCAATGAGGCTGACAACTGCACTGTTCTGTTGGGGATGTTGCTAGTATGGGAGACTGTGCAGAGGTGGTGGAGGTACTGGGAACTCACTGCACTTCCACTTGATTTTGCTGTAAACCTAAAAATGATGTAAAAAGTAGTTTACTAAGAAAAAAGGACAAAGATTCAGCTTCAGGATCATGCAGACTTATACTCTCTAATGAGTGGTAGTTAATGAAGTTCTCTTATTCATTCTGTTAAAAAGGAATTCAGATATAATGTTCAATTCCCTGTTAACTTGGGTTTAATTTATTAATTGTTTATTACTTGAGTTTGTCAACTGTGTATCTTAAGTGCAAATGACTCAAAAATGTTAAAATATTCTAGTCAAAACCCAAATGAAAATAAAATCCTCCAAGTCTGAGAAAAAAAAGTACAAAACTTAAAATAACTCTATTTTACTTTCTTTTTAAGCTTACAGATATGTGCAGAGACTGTTTCCCATCCAGCCTATCTTGGAATGTCTGTCAAAGCACAGTCAAAAGTGTCAACAGCAGGAGCTTCCAAGCCTTTGCTCTCACTCATTAGTCTATTTAACAAATATACTTGTTAAGCAACTACTTATTTGGCTTGGTCCCTAAAGGAGAATAAAAAGTAACTACTAAAATGTCTGCTAAATCTTAAAAAATGGACTGGAGAGATGGCTTAGTTGTTAAGAACACTTACTACATTTTCAGAGGACCCAGGTTTGGTTCCCAACACCCACATGGTGGCTCACAACTGTCCATAACTCCAGTTTCAGGGAATCCAAGGCCTTCTTCTGGCCTCCATGGGCACTGTATGTATCTGGAGCACATATATACATATAGGTAAAACACTCATACACAAAGTAAAAATAAGTAAATCTTTTAAAAAATGTCTGTCACCAAGAAAGTTGTAATCTTATGAGGGAATAAAAAATATGCCAAAAAACTAGACTGCAGGCTACTAGTTAACCACTGCATAGACTTCTGTCTTTTCTTAACACATATTTCCTGCTGATGGGTTGGATTCAAGCTACAGTTACACCAGGGTTAGTGCTGAGCCTCCTTCTCCTCTCTGCCCTTCATCACAAGACGCCACATACAGAAGCAGAGGGAGAGATGGTCCTGCCTTCCTGACCACACAAAATTCCATGACCATATCTACTTGGACTTCCTATAAAAGAAAAATGACTTTTGGCTCATTAAAGGCAGTTTTCTTTTTCCAGTTTTCTTTTTCCCTCCCCTCCCCTCCCCTTCCCTGTCTCAAAAACAAAATAAAGAAGGGCTGGAGAGATGGCTCAGTGGTTAAGAGCATGCATTGATCTTACAGAGATGGGGTTTGGTTCCTAGAACCCACATCAGATGGCTCACAACTGTCTGTAACTCTAGTTCCAGGGGATCCAACACCCTCTTCTGGCTTTTTGGAGCATCTGCATGCATATGGCACACATACATACACTCAGGCATACACACATACACATAAAATAATAAATAAAAATTAAAAAAAAACAGAGTAGAACAAAATGACACATGCACATAATTCCAGCACTCAGGAAGCTGAGGAAGAAGACTGACAGGAGTTCAGAGCCAGCCTGAAATACATGGAGAAACCTGTCTCAAGAAACAGAAGTCAAGGCTGGAGATGTGTCTCAGTTGGTAGAATGCTTGCCAAGCATATGCGAAAGGCCAGAAAAACAAAAGTTCAAGGCCAGCCTGTGATATATGAGACTTCCCCTCCCCTCCCTTTTTTCTTTTTTCTTTTCTTTTTTGGAGATGTTCCCTTTTCTTAAATCTAAACCTAATCCCAATTGACAGAATAATCCAAATACATTCTCAATGATGAAAAACTTTTCAAAGAAAGGAACAGGAATGTAGAACAAGGGAAGAAAATTCATTAAAATGCCTTAACTATGTATTATACATATTAGGCACTGAATTAGGAGCCAGTTAATTAAAAGTGAACTAAACATCATCTATGTAAACAAAGCTACAAAAAAAAAACAAAAAACACATTCTAACACTGGAACCAAGGCATTACTCAAACTTTCTCCAACACTTCAAACATGGTATGCCAGAGCGCACACTCCAAAATATCCCCTCCAAATTCCCCATTTCTTTAAGTATCCACACTTAGACCTGTGAGTCATGTATGATTTTTATTAGCACTTATCCTCATATCCAATCACTGTGTTCTAAAGAAAATACAATTTCTATCAAAATTCTTCTCCTTAAACTATGATTCTAATAATTATGCTTTCTAGAAAGGTTTATGTATTTATTTATTTGGTTAGTTAGTTGTGCATGTCAGTGCGAGTGTATGCACATAGGTGTATGGTGGTCTGGATGCAGAGACCAGAAGAGTGTGTCAGTTGTCTTACTCTGTCACTCTTCAGCTAGTCCTTTGAGGCAGGATCTCTCCCTGAACCTCAGGCTCATGTTTTCTCAGCTAGGCCAGAAGCCAGAAAGTCCTGGAGCTCCTCCTGTCTCTGTCTTCACTAAGGCTGGAGTTGCAGGCATGGGCAGTATATCTGGCTTATTAACATGGGCTGAGATCCAAACTCTGGTCATCATGATTGCATAACAAGTGCTCTTAACCACTGAGCCAACTCTCTAGCCCAGATTCTAGTAATACTCTTTTTAAATGAAGAATTTAAATACTTAATTTTTATTTGTGTAGACCTTCTCTCCTCAACTAGACTGCACCTTTTTTTTTTTTTTTTTTGAGACAGGATCTTATTACAGCCTAAGCTAGTCTCAAACTTGCTATGCAGCTTAAGCTGGTCTGTGGCCCGGAACTCACAGTTTGCCTGCCTCTGCTTTTTGAGTGATGGCTTTACAGGCATACACTACCACACCCACCTAGACTGTAGCTTTTTCTAGGCATAGTATCCAATTCAATTTCAGTAAATTCTGATGAATATTCCACATACAGTCCAGGGCTGAGAAGCTACTATTACAGGTTCCTAGAATGACAGTATTTCAGACTTGATATGCAATATGGTACCTCAAATAACTCTAATTGTGGAGATGTTCCAATTAGTTGTAGTAATTAGCTGGTAAAGAGACAAGAGCAGAGCACCCGGGTCCAAAACTAATCCACAGGAAACTGAGAAGTCTTTGGGCTACATCAAGTCTATGGGTGTATACACAGGATAATACAAAATGGATATTCCTACTGTCTGTAAGCAACTAGAAAACAACACACATACTAAAGACAATACTGAAAAATTGATTAAGCCAATCCTTATTGTAGTGAGTAAAAAAAAAAAAAAGAAATTCATTTAAGATAGCATTTTATGCTAGGCGTGGTGACCCACACCTTTAATTCCAGTACTCAGGAGGCAGAGGCAGGTGGATTTCTCTTAGTTCAAGGCCAGCCTGGTCTACACAGTGAGTTCCAGGCCAGCTGGGGCTATAGGGAAACCCTGTCTCAAAAAGACTCCCCCCCTCAAAAATATAGCATTTTATGAACAAATTGTGTTTCTTAACATAATAGAATATGTACTACCCATACATGCATTCCTTCTTTTTGTAAAGCCAACTGAGATCATCTGCTCCCAGCCTGCCTTCTCTACCTCCAAACTGGAAATTGAGCAAGTGAGGAATAAAATTAACTTCAATATTAAATAAAAGAAGATGTAAAATGGGAATGGAAATCTGCCACTACTAATTAACACTGTCTGAAAAAGCTAATTTTGCTAAAATAGAAATATTTATGTAACAAAAGAAGTGCAGCTGCCTCTCCATAATTGGCAGTCAATCAAAAAATTAATTTCAAACATTATCTGTGAAATGAGATGTCATTCTGCAGCGTTTAATCACTTAGAGGCTCAAGATAAGAGCGGGGATGAAAAGCATCCAGGTGCCACTTGTGTTTAATTTTAGACTTTTTATGACTGATCTCACAGACGAAAAATACCACTGTCCTTCATAAATTCCACAGGCCCCTTATAAAGCCCATGGCTGCAGAAGTTAAATGGTCAAAACGATACCCCAACGTGTAGAATAACTTAGGACTAGAATGAGTATTATAAAAGAATAAGAGTTTCAATGCTGAGTTGAAGTTCCATTGATAAATATTCCCAGGGCATACCTTATTTTCTTTGTATCTACTGAGATCTGCTATGCAATATTCCTTGAATAATTTATCATAGTATTTCTTTGCAAGTCTCTTCTCCCTAAATCCATTAAAAAAAATACATAGCATACACTTAGAAATTCAAACACAGTTTGCTACTTGGAAGCAATGTCAAATAAATAACGTATATGATATAAGCATTAATGTTAAAAGAGGCCTGCTTCTGCCAAGTGCCCCAAGTATCTGGACACTCGCTGTTAATGGCAGTTGTCTCAGAAATTAAAGGGGTAACAGAAGTGGAATTATTCTTCATTTTTTTACCCTTTATAATATTTGGATTTTCTAAAACCACTTTCAGGTATTATTTTTTTCCCAAATTGTTCAAAACATTTTAAAAGAAGAATATAACAGCATATTATAAGACAACACACAATACCATAAAAATTACTTTTGAAGGCCTAAGTCAAACAATTAGAAGTCAGTTAAAACTGCCCAAACTGCTAGGTACAGTGGCACATGCCTTTATTCCCTCAGCACTCTGAAGGCAGAGGCAGGCAGATCTCTGTGAGATCAAGACCAGCTTGGTCAACACAGTAAGTTCCAGACTATCTAGGGCTACAGGAAGACCCTGTCTCAAAATACCAAAACAAAAAACAAGAAAAAAAATGCCAAAAATTACCAAAAGAAGCAGAAGAGAATCAGGAATCTAAACACAAGTTTCTGTTCTTGATTTAAAACTGCCCTATAAAGGTCTGACTAACATAGAACAGAGCTGGAGAAGAGAGTTTAATGGTTCAAGTGCTTGCTGCTCTTCCAGAGTTTGGTTTCTAGCATCCACATTGAGTGGTTCATAACAATCTATAACTCCAGTTCCAGGCACTCTCACACACATAGTGCGCGCACACACACACACGCACACACACGCACGCACACACACAATCTTTAATAAATAAATACAAGAAAAGCCATGTAATAAGAAAGACAAGACTATGATACTTGATGCAATAAATGCTAATGGCTAACATTTGCAAGTCACCAGACTGGCAAGATGGTTCAGTGGGTAAAGGCACTTGCTAGCAAGCCTGATGACCTGATTTCCATCCCTGGGACACACAAGATGGAAGAAGAGAACTGACTCTCCTAAGTTGTCCTCTAACCTCCACGCACGTGTTGTGGCACACACACACTCAGACATACACACAAAATAAACAAATAAAATAAAATAAAATACCAAGTCATATCTTCTTCATCCTCTTCATTCCATAGGAATCTATGATTTTCACGTATAACGTCCAAGTCTGTCTTGTCATTCTCCCTGGAAAATAATATGATTTTAATTTAGTATGAAATTAAAATCAGTCAAATTTAGGAGGTTAAATAATGCTGTGGGATTTTTAGAAAACTTTATAAACATAAAAAGTACAGTTATAATTGAAAGTGTGTGTGCGTGTGCATGCGTGTGTGCGTGCGTGCGTGTGTGTGTGTGTGTGTGTGTGTGTACATACAGAACAACTGCTTCAGTATTTTCAGGAGCTGCTAGAGAAGCAAGTTAAATGGATAAATGAACCCATCATCTCCAGCTGTAGTTTCCATTATACAAACTGCCAAGCTGCTAAAGCTAGGACAAGAACACCTCACAAACTCTAAATACGGAAACGTGAGTGAAAAAAAGTCCCAGAATCCAACCAAAAGTCAGTAATAACACTCTGCTGGGCATTTGATTTTTTTAAACATTAATATTACTGCATTTTATTAGTTTCCTGGGAAGACTTGAACAAGGGAGGAAGACAACTGAAGATGATCTTTCAAAATAAAATATCAACAGTTTGGGAGTAGACTAAGTAATTGCTGAGAGATATAGGAGAAACGGAAAGGGAAGATAAAACTGGAATAGATGAGATAACACCAAAAAGGTTTTAGGGCCTTACCTACCCAGAAAATGAAATCAAAGGAAAAAACTCCATACAAGACCAAGGGTCTCTGATAAAAGAGCCTCTAATGTTGGAAGGGCTTTCATGTGTGGGAAATTCTAAAATGAGGCTTCTTGTTTGTGCTACCTTTGAAAAAGTGATCCTAAACACTAAGGTCTAAACAGGACACTAAAGGCCCCTGTCAACAAGAACTAAGACTATTCCTCATACTTCCTGTTACTGCCAGCAGGGTACCTGGCTCAGCTGGAGAGGGGCCTACCTGAGGCCTGCTGCTAAGGAAATGGGATTCAGGAAGGGCTAAGGAGCTAGAAGCTGTGGAAGGAGGTCTCTCCATCCTGTGGCAAGACAAGGAAACTGGAACAGAAAGCAGGGGAAGAGAGAAAGAATCTGAAAGCACAGTAGGTTTTTCAATGGCCATATGTAGCCTCCCTTCCTATGTCAGCTTCACGATACTTACCCTACACGCCTGAAGTCCTCCCTTTTGCCACCATAGTATAGAATATAGTCATTTACAAACTTTGTATGCCTTTGATACTGCAATACAGAAAGTTAAGGACTGCATACTTGTTTAGGAGTTTTCTATCACAGGATATTACTGGATAAGGAAAAAGTACAGAATGAGTCTATTTAGCTTTTTTAAATGTGCAGATATATAGATCAGAGGAACAGCTCTACAGTAGAAGGACTTCTACTTTCTAGTGAATAGTTTTTCAAGCCTGTATTATTTGTAACGTTTAGAATATTTTTCACGTATACATTATTCTTGTGATTACTGTTATCAGAGGAAAAACTGAGCTTTGTATTCTATTCCTAGACTACATACAACCAGCCATTCTATCTAATAATCTTAATATTAAAAATAAAGAAATTATGGCTTCTAAAATTATAGGTTAAGAAGCAGAATTTATCTTTTATCACTACAAAATCTAATCAGCTACTTCAATAATGATAAAGCCTCTAAACAGAAGATACAGCTTTTATAACATTAAGTCTCACCAACACTAAATTTTTTTTTAAAGTTAAATATAAGAAATTAAGGGGGCTGGAGATATGTCTTACAGAAGACCTGGGTTCAAATCCCAGCACCCACATGGCAGCTAACAACTCCAGTTCCAGGGGATCCGACAGCCTCTTCTGTCCTCGCGGGCATTGCACAACACGGGTGCACTTACCTACATGCAGGTAATATACTCATACACATAAAATAAAAATAATATAAATATTTTTTTAAAAGAAGAAACCAAAAGGTGAGGCACAGTGCTCACATCTGTAATGTCAGCACTCTAGAGGTGGAAACAGAAGGAAAAACATGAGTTCCAGGCAACTTAGGCTACAGACTGAGACACTGTCTTGAAAAGAAAGAGGGGCTAGAGATGGCTCAGTGGTTTGAAAGCACTGGCTGCTCTTGAAGAGGACCTGGGTTCAAATCCCAGTACCCACATGACAGCTAACAACCATCTATAACTGTAGTTCCAGGGGATCCAACACCATCTTCTAGCCTCTGCAGGCACGGCACAACATGGGTGCACGTACATACATACAGGTATAACACTCATACACGTAAAATAAAAAATAATTTTTTTTTATCTTTTTTGAGACAGGGTCTCCCTGTAGCCCCAGCTGGTCTGGAACACACTATGTAGACCAGGCTGGCCTTGAACTCACAGAAATCCGCCTGCCTCTACCTCCCAAGTGCTGGGATTAAAGGTGTATGCCACCAAGCCGGGCAAAAATAAATTTTTATAAAAAGAAAGAAAAATAAAAGAAATAATGGTGTTTTAAACTTTTTTTTTCAAAGAATCCATACAACTATGTGTATTTTCAATGCAGTATAACAAGATGTATGAACATTTTACCTTTTGTTTTTAAAAGCTCAATAGCAGGGCTGGAGAGATGGTTCAGTGGTTAAGAACACTTGCTGTTCTTCCAGAAGACCTGGTTTCTTTTCCTAGCACCCACATAGTGGCTAAAAGAACATCCATAACTTCAGTTCCAGAGGAATCTGACACCCTCTTCTGGCCTCTATGGGCACAGCGTGACAGAAAAGGGTACTAATACTGCCACTCGCACTAGGTACCCGCTGCCCACAATGGCAGCATCAGAGGGAAGAACAGATGTTTAAATGTTAATGGCAGGTGAGATCCATTGGAAGTTAAGTGGTTGGGCTAGGGAGTAAGAGATTACAAATGAAATCAGGAAGACAATAACTTATTTAAAAGAGAAAAAGTGAGACAGACATCTATGTGTGTTTGGGGGTGGGGGGTGCTTCCTTTTTTCAATCTTGACCATGACAGTGAATCCCCAGAAATGCTTCAGGTCTTGCCTGGCCTCTCTTTGGTTCTTCAATATCCCTGGAGTGACATGGATGGCCAGTGCAGCAGTAAATGTCAGGAGCCACAGTGCTACTGGCTTGTAGCTAACTCGGTCTCCAGTCATGTCTGAGGATTAAAGTCACAGCAGGTCTCGGGTATAGCACACAGATAGATCTAATTTTAAAAACAAGTCTGAGTTTAAAAAAAAATAGTCAAGAACCAGGTAGGAAGAGAATGCATCAAAATGAGACTAACGAAGAGAAGCACAGAAAAGGGAAGTGTTGAAAGCAAAAGAGGGTAGGAAAAGACTCGCAAGTTCATACACTTTGTACGCTCACTGAAAGAACATCAGTAGTATGTTTCATTATTTTTGTCTCTAAATCTTTCCTATGTATTAGTAAAAGAGAATTATACCTAAAAATATAAAAGATAAAATTATACATCAATAAACACTTATCTCTAAAAAAATGGTCTCTCGGACTTCACAAGACCTTATAATAAAATCAGAAAACATGGCAACAAGCAGACTTTAAACAGTCTATTAGTTATAAAAACCAGGACTGTAAAAAGGATACGGCATCCATAGCTATGAGATGAAACCGTCTATTTCTTGCTTCTTCCCTGTTTAAAGGAAAAAGTTTAGGTAAATTCAAAAGTCCATATTTGAACGAATAGAATCAAATCCTCTTACCTCAAGTTTATAAAGTGTCTTAAACCAAAGACTGTCACAAACACTGAGGTGCCATACCTATCCAGCAATTCTGCTGCCACTTGTTTATGGACCACCTTTCCATGCTTTTCTTTCTGAAATGGTTTTGTGAGCAATAAATCATCTTCAGTTGTCCTGGTGTTTTAAGAAGAAAAATTATTAACAGTTAATTCTTCTCAAAGGTTGCTTTCTAATTCTTCATATGTTCCTAACTGCTAGGTAAGCACTCTACTAGTGAGCTGCATACACCCCCCGTAACTCCTAATTTGCACACTTGGCCCCAGCTGGTGATGTTATTTTGGGAAGGTTGTGGAGCCTTTTGGGAGGGGGAGCCTTGTTAGAGGAAGTGGGTTGCTAGGGAGGACCTTGAGGTTTTATAGCCTTGGCCCTACTTCCTGTCTGTCCTAGGCTTCCTGACTACATACACAACCTGTCCAGCTGCTTCAGGCTGCTGCCGCCATGGCCTACAACCCCTGACTGACTGTATCCCTTCTTAAATGCTGAGTCAAAATAAACCTTCCTTCCTCCTTAAGCTACTTCTTGTCAGGTATCTGCTCACAGCAACAAGAAAATAACGAGTATGTCAGCCCAAAGAATTCAAGGCTTAACTTTAAAAGAGTCACTAATCTTTAATGAGGCATTTACATCTTAATTTTATTTAATATTTATAAAATGGAGAAAACAAAACAAATATATGCTCTAGTGTTATACCACTGAAGTTCCTAGTTCAATTCCTGACTCAACTATTTACCACCTGAATCTTGAAATGATTAAGTTATTTAATTTCTTTGTAAAATAGGGATAAAGAAGCTTTTAGCAACAAATTGAAAGAGAGAAAAGATTTAAAAAACCAACCAAACAAACAAAAAACTGTCTTCTTAAGTCAGTCAGGTGAAGTTTTTATAGAATCATCCTAGTGCCAGAAGAGACATTAGGATCATATAGATCAATTCATTTTAAGATGAACAATTAAGGTCTAATAGTCTGGGCTTCATGGTGAGTTCCAGGCCTACATGTAGGCAAATACTCATACACATTAAACAAACAAACAAACAAACAAATCTTTAAGAAATAAAGGAAAAGGTTGACTAATACATGTAGGCAAATACTCATACACATTAAACAAACAAACAAACAAACAAACAAATCTTTAAGAAATAAAGGAAAAGGTTGACCTTAGAGGATATAGACCCAGGCTGGCCTTGAACTTATTATGTAGCCAAGTTGACTATAGAGGATATAGACCCAGGCTGGCCTTGAACTGACTATGTAGCCAAGTTGACTATAGAGGATATAGACCCAGGCTGGCCATGAACTTATTATGTAGCCAAGGATGACAATGAACTTCTGATCTTCCTACATTCACCTTTCAAGAGCAGCTATTAAGGCATGTGCCACTATTCCTGGTTTTATGCAGTGTAGAGGATGGAACTCTGGGTTTCATGCATGCTAGGCAAGCACTCTATCAACTGAGCTACATCCTCAGCTCAGAAAGTAATATTTTCTAATGAAAATTTAGAAAGCATATATCACTGTAAGTTTTTATAATTATAACTATTCTTTGGTTATTTATGAAAACTGATTCTTACAAAAATTAAGTCCTAGTAAGCATGTCTAGCATACTGTTCTCAGTGCGGAATAATAAACCAATTTCTATAAGTTTGGTTAGTATGAATCAATCAAGCGCCACTAAGTTAATAGATAAAATGAAGTTTCTAAGTCCTGAAAGCTACAAATGGAGCCCCTAACCCACACCTTGGCCAAGACATAGCCTCCAGTTAGACATAGGGGCTCATACCTGTAATATCGACACTGGGAGGTTAAGACAGGAGGACTGAGAGTTTAAGGGCAGCCTGGGCTATATAGTGAGTTCCAGGACAACCTGGAACATAATGAGATTCTGTCTCAAAAAACAAAAGTGACAACAAAAAAAAATGCGGCCTTTTTATGACACCCAGGCTTTATGAGCTAGAAGTGCTTGTCCCTCCCAATTCAATAAAACCTTCCTCCTCTAACCTGCTCATTCAGGTAAACATAGTAACTATTCTCAATTACAATTTCATCCTCTGAGCTAACTTCACTTTGAAGGCAAGTGGGAGCAAGAGAGCACAACTAAATCCTATCTAAGCTGTGACACTTGCAGGCACAGTCTTTAACAGCTGAAAAAAAAAAGAACCAAAATTCATGAAAGCCGGGCAAGGTGGTGCAAGCCAGGCATCATGGCACACGCCTTTAATCCCAGCACTCCAAAGGTAGAAATGGGCAGATCTCTGTCAATCAAGGCCAGCCTGATCTAGTAACAAACTCCATGCCAGCTGGGACTACAGGGAGACCCTGTCTCAAACAAAACAAAACCAAATAAAACAAAATGCATGCAACAGAGAAATCAGAAACCTTTCCATTCTTTCCTTTTCTTCCTTCCTTTTCCATAAACCTCTTCACAGCAAATGTACTGATTTTTCCCACAACTGCCTTCAATATTAAATCTGTTTATTATAGCTTAAATAAAAATGCATTCACTAGTTTTACTACGCATTCAATTCAAAACCTTTCAATTTTATTTATACCTTACATCAATCTAGAAACAATGTGAACTACAAATAAATAAACGCACCTTTTCTTCTTTTTGCTAGATTCTCCGTGTTCATCATCACTAAAGTCAGAGTCATAGCCTCCATGCCCGTGCATCTGCAGAGAAGTATTAAGTCAGCTTTAGACCCTAAGCTGGCAAGCGTTTAAGAAACACAACAGTGAAAACCAAGTGATCTTAAACAGTCACAATAGCGTTAAAGGACCATGGTAGGCAGATCAGTGTTTATGGGCTATCCAGCCATCTTAAACTTTCACACTTGAAATAACACTACCCTTCAGATCAATGTTTTTCACCTTGAACTGCCAACAAGGGAACAAAGTAAGCTATTTTTTGTCCTTTCCACTGAAACCTGGCCCACATGCTGGGAAGTGACTGCAAACAAAGGGCAGCAATGCTTCACTTTTATTTGAGCTGAAAATGTCTTAATGTCTCATGTTTCAACTACTTTTTCTATGTATAGATATGCTTAAATATGTGAATACCATTGGATTACAATTATGTACAGCATTAACTACAATAACATGCTGTACAGGTTTATAGCCTAGGATATACTTAAGTCTTCAGGCTACCCATAGGGCGTAGGTGTGGGGTAGGTCATATCATCTAGGTTTGTGTAAGCACACTCTGATGTTTGAACAATGAGAAAACTGCCTGAAGACACACTTCTCATGTCCCGCTCTCATTAAGTAATCCATGACTATATTCCTCTCTAACTCTGCCCTCGACATTGTGCCCAGCACTTTATAAGCAATGCTTTTGATTCTGCAAGTTAGAAATCATTACTACATTTTAGGGATGAAAAAAAGTCAAGGACAAAACTAAGTAAACCAGTTTTACAAAGCAAGGAAGTGGCTAAACTGATTTACTTGATTCTTAACCCCACCATTTCAACTATTCCATACTGCCTCTTTGAAATACGATTACTGGTATCTCATCAGAATAACTGTCTGCAAAATGATGTACTATCGACTGATGAAATGTTTCCTCTTATCTTTTTAAACGTGAGTTTTGCTTTGGTTTTGTTTTCTTCAAAGTACCTTACCCATTGGCTTAGGCAGTCTTACTGTTTCATTTTTAAATTACCATTCTTGAAAATGCTGAAAAATGTCAGCTGTCACTCAACTATGTTTGAAAAGTACCTACATTCAGCATTCCATTGAATTTTGAACACACTACTGGGGGATGAATGTTATTTCATATTCATTGGTGTCATAAATATTCAGATCCTACGGCCGAAAGGAACCAGTCCAGGTCAAATGCATATTAAAATCTTCTAAATTTCCATATTTGTGTCAGCGAGTACACTCTGAACTTCACTGAGTTAAATCTAGGAGAGAAAGCATTTTTAGTCCTCACTACCTTGCCTATGTCACTCCATCTCCTGGGGCTTCATGTTAAATAAGACATCAAATCTATAACATCTGTAATGTCATTTTCTAGCTCAGGTGTGTGATGAGTATATACTTCTCTTCCCTGTTCCACCAAATCCTGGAGATGAAGGCCACATCCAGGTAAAGGTTTACAGACCACAGCTCACACCCTATGCTGGCTTATATTTATCAATGCCTTAAAGAACTGGTCTTCAGTTTTTAGACCAACATCTGGCATCAGCAGTCTTGTCGCTTTTCAAATTACACCATCCTCTTACTCCAACATCCTCACTTTCTTCATATTTTGACTGTGGAAAACCACAGTGTGGAGCCTGGAGATGTTCTAAAATCAGCCTAGCAGAACTCAAGGTCTGGGTCTGTGCTTTTCATCTATCTTTCCTCTATCTTTCTTTCTTCCTTCCCTCCTTTCTTCTTTCTATGGTCATTAACTTCTCCGAGCCTGTGTTTCCCCATTTATAGAAAAAAAATGTTAACAAGGATACTGATCTCATAGGAGTAAATGAGCCATAAACTTTAAGGTTGTGGAACTGTCTGGTACAGTAAACTGTAAATATGTACTGTTAGCTCTACTTTGTCCCTCACTCCTAACAACCACTTTTTCTTTACTCCCACTCCATTTCTTTTCCCTCTGGCAGCTCCATTCATCCCATAAAACAGCTTAACTCAGTGGTTTCACTGAACACCTCTCCCTGAAATCAAGCTATGAATCAACTGACAAGAGCTGGGAACATCTCGAGAATAGGGGCATCGGCTGCCTCCAGTATCTGTCACTGGAAGAAAAAAAAAAAAGATTGCAATCAACTACCACGAGAACCAACTTTTAAGGTCGTTCTCTGACACCAAATACGCCCAGGGCCCTCCTTACACACCCCTTCCCTTCCGATCCTGTCTGCCAAGCTCGCCCCGTGAGTCGTGGGAGCTGCAGCGACGACCCACGGCCTGGCGAACCGCTGCAAGTCCCACTCGGTCCGCCACAGCCGCGCAGCCGAGACGCCCGCACCGCGCAGCCACCGCCCGCTGCACACCTCTCCCTACGGGTACCGGCTCGGAGGAACTTCCGGCCCGACTCAGAGGCGAGTCACGCTAAAAGGCTCCGTGCTCCGGCACGCCGACCTTGTGCTACAGCCAGAATGGCTCGGGGGAAACAAGGGCGGCAGGAGAACAGGCCCGAGAGGAGAAGCAGAGGCTGCATGCTCCGGCTCCTCGATTTTCCTAGGGCCTCGGTCCTTTCCCTCTAGGGAATCCAACATGTAGTACAATGTGGCGCTGCCAGCAGTCCAGCCCACGCCCGTCATGTGAATATATATCTTGCTTTAGAAAAGAACCCTGCCTGTCACCTGTCGTCCTCTCGCTAGTAACCTTAGTAACGCCTCCTCCTCGAGCATCCTCTCCCAGCCGCTCAGCCTCAGATCCGCCTATCCCTTTTCCAACTCTTTCCCCAGGAAAACAGTCCTCATAATTAGAGCAAAAATAACTTTCCATCATTCCACCACCCACACAATAGACACTGTTCCAAATGCAGTGCCGGCGGTAGAAGAAATCGAATTGGCGAGGAAAGGAAAAATGGGGGAGTAGGAAAGATTTCACAGGGTCGCAGATTCTCTGCCAATGAGCGACCTGGCACGTAAGAAAGGGCAGCCAAAATAGAGTATTTAAAAAAAAGAAAGAAAGAAAGAAAAGAAAAAACCCTCAGGCAGGCAAAATTAAATTATGTCCTACACCGTGACGTCCCACCCCGCTTTCCATTCTAGTTGTTGGGTTTCTATCTTGTCTCCCTCTGGCACCAGCAGTAATTCATCTTCGTCCTCAGTACCCAGCGCAGTGCCTTGGAAAAATCACAGGCGCTAATTAAATATTTGTTGAATAGAACTGGCATGCCTCTGGCTTTTGCAAAGGGCCCTTTAAAGGAAAACTGTGGTACTTAATACACATCCATTTTACATCTTTTGTACTAAACAGTAGATAACAATATCCCTATCAGTTCAAGGCCTTTTTTTCATTCTTGACAGTAAGTTATAGCTACACAAAGTGCAATGAATGTGAATTTGCTAATTAAATGATTATAAATTCTTGTATTTTAAAATGGATTTGGGTTATACCTCAATAAAAAATGTTTTCTTAAAAATTTAAAACAACAGGAAGCCTTGTGATTTAATGTTATACCATATTGAGTTTTTTGTCAAGCAATTTTGATAAATATCTAAAAACCACATACTTCTATTATTAATAAGGCCAAGTACATCTGTACCTTGCACCCAACTCCTTTCTACCAATATTTGACATTTATTAGCATTTTTGTTTCATTTTACTCTTCCAATAACCTTGTGACACTGTTATAGTCTCCCGCATTTAGAAATTTTTAATTAATTTATTTTTATGCATATGTATACATGTGTGCCTGCTTGTCTGTATGTGCACCAGATGCAGAGACCAAAAGACATAATTAGAACCCCTGGAACTGGAATAACAGACTGTTGTGAGCTGCCTGATGGAGGTGTGGGGAACCAAACCCGTCTCCTCTCAACTCCTGAGCTGTCTCTGCAGCACCCTCACCCCTCACCATTTTAAACATGAGAGAGAGAGGCACAAGACCTGAAGCCACGAGTCTGGTGAGGGTTTGGAATTAGGAAGCACTTGCTTCTCTAAAAGATTTAGTTCCTCTCTCTCAACTCATAGATTCTGTGGGAACTAGCTTCTGGTTTCATAGATAACCATTACAAATCCATTCAAGCAAAGGTTTCCATTTTTTTGCTTCAAGGCAGCAGCTACTAAAGACATTAAATACCAAATATATGCTATGGCTAGATCACATAATCTGAATTTTTAAAAATACAGGATACAAAACCTACCTGAGGGGCTGGAGAGATGGCTCAGTGGTCAAGAAGAATGACTGTTCTTGCAGAATACCAGGGTTTGAATATCAGCACCCACATGGCAGCTAACAACTGTTGGGTAACTCCAGTTCCAGGAGATCTGACAGCCTCTTCTGTCTTCCGTGGGCATTGCACAACATGGGTGCACTTATCTACATGTAGGCAATACACGCATACACATTAAAAAAAATAATTTTAAAAGCCTACCTGATTGGGAAATCTTGAATAAGCAATTACAATTCATCAACAATGAGGGCTGGAGAGATGCCTCAGCAGTTAAGAGCACTGGCTGCTCTTGCAGAGGAGTTGGCTTCAGTTCCCAGCACCCACAAGGCAGCTAACAACCGTCCATAACTCCAGTTCCATGGGATCCGACGCCCTCTTCTAACCTCCATGGGTACTGCGTGACACAGGTACGCTTACATACATGCAGGTAATATACTCATACACATAAAATAAAAATAATAAATAAAATATTTTTTAAAAACAATTCATCAACAATAAAAGACACAAATACACGTTAGTTAACTTGCTCTGGGCAAGGCAGTTATCAAGATTACAGATTCCTTTATCTTGAAGACGTAAGAAAACAAGAATATATAAAATAATTACATTAATATATTCTATCAAATGTCATAAATGGTATAAACCTGTGAGTCCCAGTTTTTAAGGTATATTATCAACGAGTGTGAAAATGTAAATGTACACAGATGTTATATAACTCAAAGCAGCAACATACTATGGCAGGTACATAATAAGGACAAGAAAAGAAAAGATGGGTGATGGTAAAATGTTTTTAATACCGATTTTGTACATTCTGCTAATGCTTTGTCTGAATACACTTTATTTCCAAAACCAGTCACACAAATATTTTTCGTTAAACATGATGTAACACCAGTACTTCTCCATGGTAACCTGATATCCCTGCCTTGAACAGTTAAGGCATATACTATTAGTATACAAACTTCATGAAGCTGTTTCCATATTGGAGCATAGTAGTTGAACATAAATCTGTGTTCCCAGGGCATAGTCAGCCATATTTGACCCTAGAATAAACTGTCTCTTATTCTCTTTGAGGTGAGAACTGTGGTTTTTTTTTCACATCGACATCAATAGATAAGGAGAGCCATCTGCTCTCTCAGTCCTCACAGCATTGGATGAGAACCCAGCCATGCTAAGCTGCATTCCTCAACAAGCAGAACCCATGCGAAAAGCCAGGCACGGTGGTGCACACTTTAATCCCAGGGACTGTGAGATGAGCAGCTGGAACAAGTAGATCCCTGGAAGCTCATGGTGGGTCAGCTAGACTGGCCTTCCTGTCAAAGTTCCAAGCCAAACAAAAGGTAAAAGGCAAATGAGAGCCAATATTTGGGCTGTCCCCTGACCTCCATATGTGTGCAGTGCACACTGATAGGCCTACCCACACACACATATAAATACACATAATCACATTTAGAAAATTCTTTTGATCAAGTGAAGTACTATCAGTCCTATTTTATAAACAAGGAAAGAGATTTCAAGAAATTACCTCTCTAAAAGTCATGAGCAATTAAATGTGCATCAGTACAATTGATTCCAAATCACACATTATTATATATATAACCATATATATAATCACACATATTTATATATATAATCACACACACACACATATATATATACCATTCCATAAGGCCCACTGCAATTTTGATACTTAGATTAGGACCTATTCTTATGGAGAAAAGAAACCAGATAAATTGAGAAAGGGATTAGTAAAAGGTTGGAAAGACATTAGAAAAGATCAGACTTAAGTTGTGATTTAAATGCAGATCTTAAATAAGAGAGGAAAGGGGCAGGGGGGGTAAGTCAAGACAATGGATTCTCAGAAAAAGTTTAGAGGTAGAAATATTCATGGTTGGTTTAGGGAAACATGAGAGGTGACTTTTGCTGGAGCGGATTTTTTTTTTAAAGGAGTAATGGAGGAGAGGCCAGAGGGAACTTGGGAGCAGGTTTGGGGTGTTCTTGAACACTAGGTTATGACATTTGGTCTAGAGCCAAAAGAGAATTATAAAATATAGGGTGGTGTTTTAGATGGGTAGGGAACTGGAATCACATACCTTTATATTTGAATCCTGGCTCTGCTATTTATTAGCTATGTGGCCTTGAGCACAATTTAATTTTCTTCAATGTTTACTCTTCTTCTGTAAAATGGGAAGAGTAACAGTAACCACTTCACATTATGATTGTGAAAATCAGTTTCAATGTCATATTTAAAAGGTTTAGCCTAGTTCCTGGCACATAGTAAGGCTTAATAGATGTTCACCATTGTTTTAAAAGGAGATGATACGTGTAGTGTTTTAATAATATATTATCCTGTTAATGGACTGCAGAAAGTCAGGAATGGCCAGAGGCAGAGGGATAGAAAGTCAGGAATGGCTGGAGGCAGGAGGGGCAGAAAGTCAGGAGATTCTGGAGGCAGAAGGGGCAGGAGGGAGGTTTATCTGAACAGATGGCAGGTAGTGCTGGGAACCGAGACAAAGTATTTAATTTAGAGTTGAAGGAATAAATGGTAGACGTCATGACTCACTGGGTATGCAAGGTGAGGGGTAAAGAAGCAAAAGGTACTTGCAAAGCTGAAGACATTGAAAGAACGGTGAGAACCCCTGTGGAACTGAGGTGAAGGTGCTAATTAGTTTTTGTCAACTTGATTGCACTAGAATCACCTGGGGAGAAGGAACTTCAACTGAAGAATTTCCTCCCTCAGATTGGGTTGTGGCCATGTCTTCAAGGCACTTTCTTGGTTGCTGATTGATGTTTAAGGGCCCAGCCCACTGTAAGTAGTACCATCCCTAGGCAGGTGGGTCTGGGCTGAAAGAAAAAGGTAAACAACCCAGAGGATGCAAGCCCCAAGCAGCTTTCCTCCAAGGTCTTAGTTTCAGTTCTTGCCTCCAGATTCTTGCCTTGCCTTGAGCTCCTGCTTTTGTTTCCTTCAAGGATGAACTGTAATTTGTAAATTGAAATACTCCCCCCTCAAAAAATTGGTTTTGGTCAGTGGTTTTTTTTCACACTTTTTTAACTGAATTTTTGAAATTTTCATACAATATGATTTGATGGTATTTTGATCCCCTCCCCTATCTCTACCTCCCCTTATTGCCCCCCACATCCAGTTTATTGTAATCTATTCTATTACAAG